TTACCACCAGATCAAATCAAATGCTGTAAGGGCTCTTGGAAATCTTTCTAGATTTGTGAAATTTACGGATTCTCCAACTTATGGTCTGTTGAGTAAACCAGCCGAAAGTACAGGATTATCTTCAACTATCAATAATGTTCATACACAGCCGGCAAATAGTGGTTTAAAAGATTGTCATCCACATGTAGCAAAATCATTTGATCCAGTGACATTAGGAGATTCACATTTGCTGGAGAGAATGGTGGAAGCGTTTCTTTCCTGCATTACCACTGGAAATGTTAAGGTACCATTTTCTGTTTAAATTTTCAGGAGATAATCCTTTTAATTTGACTGCACCTTATAATTAGGTTCACTGATGCACATAATTATTTTGAATTTTATTTCCACAATGTCCACTGAGTCTAGACTTGCATTCAACAGGTGCAGTGGAATGTCTGTCATGCATTGAGCAACCTGTTTCTGAATGAGACAATACAACTGCAGGATGTGGATTGGTATGGTTCTACTACATTTTTTTTTGCTAGTTTTCTTTCAAGTTTAAAATGTTATGCCCATTCGGTTTTGGAATTTTTTGTTATTTAGTTTGATCCGTGGCCACATAAGCTGATGGAAAGAAAAATTTTAAGAAAAATTCATGCAGAGATATGAGAAATCAGAAAATGTGCTCTTACATGGTCAGTACAGTGAAAAGAAATTTAGGCATGCTCTTGATGATAACTTGTCTTTTCCTTACCATTTTTCACTCATCTTAGGACTAGTTAGTGCTAATTAAACAGAAATTGAATTACCTTACTCTAAAACCTCAGTAGAAGCAGCCTGACCCACTAGAACAGATGTTCAGAGTCCAAAACCACTGCTAGTCACCACCACTGTTGCTGAGCACAACTGACAAGTGTAAAATGTCAGACCATTTTTATCCAGCTAAAATATTGAAACACTAGACTTAAAAGTAGTAAAAGCACCCCTTAGTTTCAGTATTTTCCTTCTACAATTCAAACGCTAAAAAGTTACAAAAACCAACAAGTTATCCAATATTGCCATTAAAAACACTGATGCAGATCAATAGGCATGGCTCAACAGAGGGAAAAAAAACACAAACAAGAAAGAAGAAGAAGAAGAAAGAAAGAAAGAAAGAAAGAAAGAAAAGAAAAAAAGGTCAGATAAATATAATATCGTTGAGCAGTGGATGGAGAAGCACCAGAAAGGCATGCACATAAAAAAGGGAAGTTATGCATCTAATATTATAGATAGAGAGTCCCCTAGGGGACATCCCAATGGTTAAGAACTTAAGCTTTCATGTCGGAGATCTCAATTTAGAATCTTGAGATGGGTGGGGAGGGATTTGGGAAGGCGAGGGCTATCCTTTGTTGTATAGCTCATCATCCAACGTATCAAAAAAATTATAGATAGAGAATCCACATTCTAGGGAGAGATTGAACTCCCAATAAAGTTATCTGTGAAAGAAAAATTAAAAAGAAACAGAGGCAGCTCTGAGATCAGAGAAGACTTGTGGAGAAGAAAGAGATTGAAGGGATATAAAAGCAACAAAGAAGAAGAAAACAGGTATTGGAATATTAGAAGCAGAAAAGAAGAAAGTGTTTATTAATGTTAAGATTGAGCCTAATAATTAAGGATTTGGGACATGCTGGAAATAAGAGAGCCTTATGTGCTACCATCTAACTTGATTTGTTTTTCCATAAAAATATATATGTTCTTTCTTTTCTTGTATCTTATGGCAGATTGCAAATCTCCTAACAATTGTTATAGTTAAGTAGTTGCTGAATCACTTATATATTGGTTATTCGCATGACTTGCTTGTTATGCTTGACAATGAATGATAAAACTATGCACAACCTTTTGGCAGGGCTCCATCTGTTTTTAGTATTCTACTATTACTACTACGTGATTCTTCAAACTTCAAGATTAGGATACAAGCTGCTGCTGCTTTGGCAGTACCGGCATCAGCATTTGGTGAGTTGTAGGATACATTTCTGTTTCAGCTTGCATGATTAAAAATTTAAAATGCAATTGTTGGTTTTGTTTCTTTGAAAGTCAATTAACCCCTTTAAAAGTTGTCGGTGTTGGTGACACGTGGACTCTATTAACAATTAGTTTCTGTAACAATATTGAGAAACGTATTGTCAATGAAGACAGTTTTAGCATAGCATTGTTTATATGTATAATCTTTGTTTGGAATCCTGAAACAGGATAGCAATATTACTTAATCTTTACCTATTTGTTTTAATGCAGATTATGGGAAAAATTTCTCAGACGTTGTCCAAGGTCTGGAGCATGTAATGGAGAATCTAGGTTCTGACCAAATTTCAGAACCATCAAGTTTCAAATATAGGATTGCACTTGAGAAGCAGGTTATCACGTGCATCTGAGTGGCCATGAAATGCTTTATACAGAACAGGGAATATTCATATTGCATATTATCTTGTTTGGAATATAAGGCTTTGTCTGGGAGTGCTGCACACAACACTTTTTCTCATGGCACATTATCTAAAAATGTAAATTTATCATAAATAATTAATTTTAATTATTTTTAAAATATTTTTGGTAATTTTAATTAATATATAACTTTTGGGATAGGAAAATATCAAAAAACCTACTAAGTCCAGCCTAGCACGACACTCTCAAACGAAGCCTAAGAAATTCTCATGTAATTCAAGTTAGTGAAGAACACAAACGGTAGATGCACTGAAAGTTTTGGAGGTCTGTTTCCAAATTATTTATCTAAAATATAAAACTCTTTTGTTGTCCACAGAAAATTAAGAATTTTGAGTTGATTAAACCTACAAACTTGAATTTAAAATTAGAAACACAAAACATTTAAATGTATGTAGTTGGTTTACAGGTAAGTTCTCGAGGCTCTCTCTTGATTTATATGTCATTTTTGTTTGAAATAATTTAGACATGTAAAAATTCAAAACTATGTAGTTGTTTTCTTTCTTTTCCTTTTGATTATTAATTTTATTCTTTTATTTTTTTATTTTTCTCACTGCAGTTAACCTCAACCTTGTTGCATGTTCTTAGCCTGGCTTCGGCCACCGATCATCAACCTTTGAAAGATTTTCTTGTGAAGGTAAGGATTTCACGTGCAAATGCTATAGGAATGTAGTGAATTCTCATATTATATTGCACACGTTTCCATTTAATTTATTGTCAATGTTGATGTTTTTCAACTTACAAAAGAAAATGACACTTTATACTTCTCCATGCTAGTCCTGCTCTAGTAGGATGATTGGAGATTTAATCCAAATGAAGCATCAAAACTCTCCATAAAATGGTCCCCGTGGAATTGAATAGTTTGTCACATCCCTCCCCCTCTCTAAAGTTTTAGATAATAGTTACTTAAAAAAGAACCATGATTGTGAATGAGTGGGTGAATTACAGAGGTTTAGTTTGTCTAGGATATTTTAAAGTGTTCTTGTTTGTGTATAACTTAGTGAATGCTAAACGGTGTTGTATTAAATATTTTTTTAAAAAAATTCTTATTATTACAGGAGCTGTTATTTGTTGATTGTTGAGAAAATGCAAGAAAATGAAACAAATAGAGAGAGAGAATGAAAGAGAAATAAAAATATGAACTTAAAAATAAAGAGGTCACAAAAAGGTCTTTTTGCCTAAAAATACTAATGAGTTAGTTTTCTAAGGGGTAGCCGAGCAGAGTAACTGTATAATGTTTGAATCTTTGAATTTTGGACTGCAGTTTGTTTCTACCAAAAGGTTCATTTTTGTGTGTGGAATTCACCCAAAAATTTTTGCTTAGGCAAAATGAGCCTGTAATGGGAACACAGAATCTACTACTATGCCTACTTTAGCATTTTGCATTAGATGGTTAAAATTCAACACATGCACGCACTTGGGCAACATAAGATTTTGCTAAAAAATGGGTAACTTGGTGCAGAAGTAGGATTATTAAATGTAATAACATCTTCTGTATCGTCAATGATTTGACTGCTTGAGTTTGGCTAATAGCCAGCTATTTATATTGTGAGTTTTGTGTGATGTATTTCTTTAATCTTGATGCTTAACATAAAACTATGGTGATGAGTATTTTTTGCATCTGTAGTATATGCAAGCTTGTGAACATCTGAATCATGTTATCTTGGTTGATGTCCAGGGACTTCTTACGTTGTTTTATTACATTTGTCTAATTGGGAATTTTATTCATTTCATGCATTCGAACAAAGGCCCTGTATCATAACTTCTACTTTTCTGGTTCATTCTCTTGTTTTTCTTTTTCAAAATAGAAAGCCTCCTTTCTTGAGGAGTGGTTTAAGAAGCTATGCTCATCATTGGAGGAAGCAGGTGCTCAGCTTGATGTTGAACGACAATCCATTGGTAACCAAAAGAAAGAGATGATCTCCAAAGCTCTGCGATCATTAATTGAGGTTTATAAAGGCAGGAACCATCATACAATTGCTCAGAAATTTGAGAAGTTGGATTGCAGCATGCAGTAACCTAAATGACTTGTGTCCATTTTATGTGGTTGGTCAGTTACTTTCTGCTTCCTTGCTGGGATAATCTTGGCATCAAGTTCTCCGAGGATTGACATATGCTCAGTCCAAGGACATCTGGTAAAGTTTTAAGGAAATAAATCCTTTAGATACAGAAAAGTTCTCCCATTCTCTTCTGTAAGGGGAGAAGGTGCGAGGAGGATGGGTGTCGTGAAGCCACTCTGCTTGTGTGGAGGCCCCAGGAAAATGCATTCGGCAAGGTGCAGTTGAGTGTGGGATTCCCCAATAGTACATGGCTTGTTTGTTCTGTTGGTAGAATTAAATGTGAATTAGATGACAGGCCTCCTACTGTCCGTAAAAAATTATGATGCTTTGCCAGTACCCTTGGTAGGGCATGTTGTGGTAGATGAGGACTCGATGTCCTAATTTTAGTGTCCATCCATATCATGCAATGTAAATTAGGGAATTATAGTGATTACCATTTACCAAGGGCTCATACTCGGAACTTTGTATGAGATTTTATTTATGGTTTCAAAAATGAAAAATAAAAAATAAAACTTTTAAATTTCTTTAAAGCACCAAAAATCATTACGCATATTTGGCCACGAATTACTCAATGTGTAGCATTTACCTGAATGGGTGGGCTTTACATTACATCAATTGCTTAAATAATTTATTAATTAATTTTTTTAGTTAAAAATAAAATGTTTTGAATTCAAATAACATATGGGTGAATAGCATAAAACATTGGTGAAATAAGATAAATAATGAGAAGTAATTGTATTTTATTATGTAATAAAAAAAATAAAAAAAATTTAATGCTACCATCAGAAGGCACCCAGCCCAAGGTTAATTAATCTTGTGGTTGAGATGGTCAGAGAACTGACGCGAAGCAGATGGGTGCGTGTTGAATTGAAGTCGAGTTTGTCCTACATGTGTTATTTGCATTAATTATTTTTTTCTTATATTTAATTTCTATAAAGAGCTTTAAAAAACATAACTTATTTTTATGAATTTTTTAATATATATTATTAAATATATATTAAATGTATAATAAATATTTTGTATTATAAATTTATGTTAAAAAATAAAAATAATTTTTTAATTAATTAATTAATTAAATTTATTCATTTAACATCAATGTTAAAATTAATATTAATTTTTATATTTTATGATAAAAATATGATTAACTTATGCTTAAGAAACAAGTTTAAAAAATTTTATTTTTATTACTAATGTCATTTTTAATTAAATGATTAGTAAAATTAAAGTTATTTTTTAATTATTTTTAATAAAAATTAATGAAAAAAGTGTAATTAATGCAAAGGTGATAAATAGGCATTGATTTGATTTTAATTACAACTTGGTTTTCATTTCCTGGAAAAAGTCTAAAATTGCGACAATTTTATTGTTGGAAAGGAAAATCCATCGACAATCAAAGTGATAAATGGACACGCCCAACAAATATACCGTACAATTTTCTTGGTGGAATGGAAAATCTATTATCAATGTAGATGGCAGGTGAGATGAATTCAAGGTTAAAAAAAAAAAAAGAGTAAGCGCACCTGATCCTTGGATCAACCAGCATCATGTTAGTTTGAGGTGTATTTTTTTGTTTTTATGAGCAAGCTTGGAGTCTGCCCCCTTGGATCAACTAGCATCATGTTAGTTTGAGGTGTATTCTTTCGTTGTTATGAACAAGCTTGGAGTCTGCCCCCTTGACAACTTATTCAAAAAAACAAAAAAAAAGAAGCAACGCTGGAGATCGGAGAGTATGTTCTCACTAATCACTAATAAACCATATTTGCTCCTGTTCTCTTTGCCTTTAGAGAAAGGTACTTTAGGCTAATCCTTCGGCTGGGTGGGCTCCAAGAACAAGCAACTTTTCCCCATTTCTTCATTGCATTCTGATAAGTCAAGGCGATTTTTTTTCTAGCAGTTATAGATTAAGAGTGTAATTTTAATTTTGTGATTAAAAATATAAATAAATTTA